CGACTTACCGTCCAACATCTGAATACTTTTACGACGCCGGTTCTGTTGATGAAAGCGGCTATGGCTACTCTAATGAAATATTCACGTGCAGTATGGAGGACTTCAATCTAGCACAGTCTACAACATACCTGACCTGCATGCGCAGACAGACATCTTGTGATAACTGCGGATATTTTAATTTCACAACCAGCCAGTATATTGGTCGAACCTGTCACGTCGAATGGGTGTCTACGCAAGCAGTAACAATAGAATATACTTCCCACAGAGTGAACTTCACCTGTGACTCTACTAGGGTGCAGTGTATCAATAGAGGTGCCTCTGCTATCCCAACACTGCCTACCAGTTCTAGCACCACCACAGACACTAGTGTAAAACCAAGCATTACTGAGATTGTGCAACTTGGTATTCCTTACAACGAAGAAACCAAAGACAAGATCTTTTATATTTCAAATATTCTATACGCTACTTTTTATACACTCAATACTTTCTTCCCCAAATCACTTGTGATTGTAATCGTAATACTTTTTATTGTATTTTATTTATGCAAACATGCACGTCGTAAACAACTGGAATCAGAACTTCGAAGAAATGTACGCAGAACAACGTTTGTAGACGTGCGGAACTACTATACCGCCAGACCCAGAGTGCCAAGACCGATTAAGGGGCCGAAATTTCGTCGCCAATTTTATTTTTTCAAAAAGTGGTTGACGCCAAGTTCGCTTTTTTCTCACAATCAAAAGCTCATTGTTGTAGAAAAAATTATTTAAAAAAAAAAGTCAAAGCCTTTTCCAAAATTAGACCACTTTCATGACGTACGGTTTGAAACTACCCGCATCAAATCGTGTCGAAAAATTAAACATCGAAAAAAACTAATACATTTATTTTAACCATAATAGTAAAGTAATGTCAAGTTTATGTTTGACTTTAATAAATTATATGATAGGTATTCTCGATGACAGAATATGGACATAATGTTAATTAAGGGGGGGGGGGCGATTTTCTTAAACACTTTTTTTCTATATTAGAACTTATGAAAAAAAATATTCTTACACATATGGATACACATTTTTATGTTGATCTCTTTTTGTCTTTTGCTTGTAATTGTCTTTACTGCGAGATTTAAAAAAAAAACAAGCTAACATTATGTATTATTTATAAAAATTAAAAAGAAGAATCTTCCTTTAACTTACGATGGTTGCTCATTTTTATTTTGAACACATATCGTTGATTAGGAATGATTCATATATTTTTAACTAATTGTAAAATCAAAAGAAAACAAAGAACTGTGATTAGAAACCACACAATCTTGTGGTTAATCAAAATTAGAAGACAAATATCATTTAGGCAGTTCGTCTTCTTCTTCTAAGTTCTTAATTATAATGCTGGAACGTATTTTCCCCCAACACAAGGATTATGTGTCAACACTTAGAAAACTATTTGACTCTTTGGATTTAGTCAGCTTTTCTTTCTGGATTTTCTTCCTTATCACTAAACTATTCAAGAACAAGGTAACTATAGTTTGACCGGGAATTCGAACTCGCAGGAATAAATCAAGATTTTTTGCAATTTTATACTGTGGCTTGTTGGAAAACCTACGCTACATTGTCACACGTTGCTACAGACTCAAGTATATCATTACAAATGCAATGCCACACAGTTAAATCATCTCCCTACGCCCTCTCATACACCCCCACCCCGTCCCTTCAATCCGTGGTTTAAAAAATAAGCCCTCATACTAATGAAAATCAATATAGCAAAGTACCACTTTATCTCTGAAATATAATAGATGTTTAATATACTAGAAAACATGACATTCCCTCCGCTATGTAAAACAACCCCTTCTCCTGCTGTGTTCTTCTCGTTTAGATAGTCTTTATGACGAAATCAGTAGATCACAGGCATAGCGGACCGCACCGGATGACACCATTTTGGGGGTGACACCCAGGCAAAAAATAGCAAAATATATAGAGAAAAACTTGAGGGGGGTGCAAATCGAAAGTTTGATGGGGGGCCATGCAAATCGAAACTTTGAGGGGGGAGGTGCAAATCGAAAGTTTGAGTGGGGGGGGGTGCAAATCGAAAATTTGAAAATTTGTCCCTCGGGAAGGGTCGCTACACCTCTGGGGGTGACACCATTAAGTGCCGCACCGGGTGACACCCGACCTCGCTACGTCACTGCAGTAGATAAATGCATTTGAGTTGGTTTAATTGGTATTTCCCAATAGTCGTTAGCAGTTATTTTAATCCAGTTAAGGCGACATTCTACATCTCGCCCTATACTTTCAGTTCTGGTACACGTGCCGAAATCAAATGATGTCTCATCCTCCCACCGCCTACCCCCAACCCTCCCAACCCCTTGATACAAGACTGCATTTGTCATAGCCCATTATCTCACTTAGTTTTATAAATTATAAAGTATATTTTTAAGTTGTTTTTTTACTACACTCTATTTTAACGGATAATCTATTTTTAGTGAAAAAAACTATTTTTAGACATATATTTGCCTACTTAAAATTGAACAGAGAGCAAAATGTTTTAGAGTAGCAATGAAACAGTTAATCGTTAGCGGAGCCTTTGGTGAGTGAAGTTGTTTTGTACTTAATGCTATGCATATTAAAGCTTTCAATACAACAAGGGCTACTAAGTTACTTAGCTCAGATGTGATATATTTCATAAGAACGTCGCTTAAATACAACCTAAACTGTTATGTCAATTTCATTATTAAAATCTATCATCTATAACCAGGACAAACTTTAAACTGGAATAAGTTATCTAAAAACATTTGCATTAAAGCATAGGGGTCGTCCATAAATGACGTCACACTCGTTGGGGGAAGGGGGGGGTCCGTAATTTTGTGACGGTGTGTGATGAGGGGGAGGGGGGGGGGGGTTCAGATGGTGCGACGTCACACTTTTGCATTATAAAAAAGCAATGTTAGAAAACGAATTTTAGACGTTATTTTGCGTTTTAGAAAACTGTTTTAATAAATTGTAATAACAATTGATTAAAATACTCTATTTTGACAGAGTTCAGCCAAGATTTTGGAAAAATATAGCTGTTTAAAAAAAATTCAACTACAATTTTGAGGGGGGAAGTATGCTGAGATGTGACGTCATTTTAGGGGGGGGGGGGGTCTGGCTTTTTGTGACGACGTGTGACGGAGGGGAGGGAGCGAGGTAAAAATCGTCCAAAAAAGCGTGACGTCATTTATGAATGACCCGATAACATTAAACCACCATATCAGACCGTGTCGATCATATAAAGCACCAGAGCATGTCGATCACAAATATTACGTGTTTTCCAATTAACTTCCCGTTACACACACAGGGACCCGCCCGTCAATATTGTTACAACAATTTCCTATCGTATCATCGCTGTCATTACGAAATTGATATCAGGGGAGTTGTCAAGCATGGACAAGGATGGATATTACATTGCTACATGTTGAGAAAATATAAAAATGACTATAAACGTATGTTGGCATTAGTCTAGCTAATGATGTGTTGTACGTCTGCATGTCTTTTCTATTTACTGGTAAGATTGTAGATTTTATCTAAAAAAGGTAATGAGTATATTTAATACTTTTTTTTCTATTTTTTGTTTTGTAATTTTTAAGAGAAATAAACTAGAATTTAAGTTAGACATTGTATAGATGGCACATCAGAAGCGTCTACATGAGTGGGCAAGCAATTTATTATTGTTTGTGTTTATTTTTTTTTAAGTTTGAGTGATCTTGTGTTTCGATTGATCTAGTAATTATTGTTCCCGTGTATTTTTATAGAAATGCAACCCAAGTTTACAATGAATATCTTCAGAGTGAACAGACTGTGTTTGGTGTTGTTGATTTGCTTTGAAGCAATCGTTGCTTCAAATTATACAACAACCACAACATCAACGTCGCCAACAACTACAATAGTAACTACAACAACACTGACAACCACTACACATTATACTTCTAACAACCCGTCAAATCCAAATAATTCGACCAATATTAGTACGACAATGACTCCATCATCTTCAAAGAAATCAACAACAGTTTTTGAAACAACTTCGACAACGAAATCAACAGCAACCACTCAGACAACCACTACATCAACCCATCTCACAACCACCCTACCCTCTGTCACTGACTATGTTTTGGTTATGAATATCACTGAAGAAAATCAGCACTCTGTTTATTTAGAGTTTACATTAGAACTCGTAGCTGCGTAAGTTAATCATTTATTCGAATTTACATTTTTAATTTCCAGTAGAATAACAGGCTTATAAAAATAATTTAAAATAATTAAATAGTATAATGTATCCTCAAAACCTCGTTGGTAGAAATATCAAGTAAAATGTTGCGAACGATAAAATTATTCTTTGCTTTCAACCTTATTTGAATAGTATTTAAACAAGTATATTGCCGTAATAACATTAGTTTTCAGGAAATTGCACAAAACTAAAACATGTATATATTTAAAACTCGAACTACGTATTTGTTATATTGTAATGTGAAAGGTTTGACCGTGTAATCAAAAAATGTTAATTTCAAAATCTTGTTTCTAAATAACGATTACCACTTAAATAAAAATACGTATAAAATAAATTTTAGTTTAATTCACTTTAGGTTTTATGTAATTTTTGTACGAAACAATGTCCTACTTGCAAAGAATAACATTGTTTGCTATGATACTACATGTTAATACATTATTTTCCTCAGATTTTTCGCTTGTCTTTGCGGTAACTCCTCCCTCTGCGAAATCCCACTCAACATGACCAATAATAGTTACCATTTGGGCTCTGTACAAAGCATCAAAAACTCGACGGTTGGAACATTTGTTTGTAGAGTTGACTACCTTGGTACGGTTCCAACGGCCTTGAACTGCAGTCGCGTACAACCCGCTTGTGACAAATGCGGCTATTTTAATTTCACGTCAATCCAGTGTAGTACTCAGCTAACTCAAGTTCATTGGCAGTCCAATCAAACCGTGAAAATAGAGTTCAATTCGAACCTTAGTTTTAGCAACTGTAGCTCCAACGTTCAATGTTTCTCAAAGAGTGACACAAATTCTTCAGAAAATGTCACCAACAGAAACTTTATATCTACAACAAATCCTTCGCAAAACGTTACCAACAGCAGCTTCACTTATTCGACAAATACTACATACACTGTCACAACCCCAGCCACAGTTAACTACAACGAAATCAAAACACAGGCTATGATTGAGGCTCCTATAAACCTAGCCCTAGCTGTTGCAGTTGGATGCTTATCGTTAATAATTATTATAATTTTCATTGTTTTACTCGTCAGAAAAAGAAAACGATCAAACACAAAAAACGAAGCGTCTTCCAGCAATGTCCATGGGAGTTTGGTCAGTACCAACACTCATTCCGTCCCTCTTTACTGTGCTTTAGAAACTGGATGCACGTCAGAAGAGAATCAGTACTCACACTTTACAACTGACACCTCAGGCTATATAAACCAGCGGACACTGAGTCAGGAAATAGCGATGTCTAAAAATGAGATTGAGAAAATATAATCTCAAACAGAACGCAACACGACGAGACTAATATGTAACAGATATCATGCTGTAGCTTTTATTCAGAAACGAAACGATGTTTTTAATGTTGCTTATAGGTAGTCTTCTTATTTTTCCCTCTTCGTTCTTTTCCGTATTGTAATTTTGACAGGATTTCCTCCTAGGCAATTAAATATTACGAGTCAATATGCTATTCCCGTTGACCAGAGTTTCTTCCAGGCATCTCTTCGGGGGAGGGGGGGGGGGGGCTTTGCCCCCTCGAAAATATTCTACCGCCGCCCCCCCCCCCCCCCCGAACGAAATGAAATTTATATAACTTATATAGAAAACTAGCGTACCCGACCCCCCCGCGTTGCCGCGGGGATAGAAGAAAGTTTGACGCAATATAATATGATTTCACCAACGCGTTATCAATTATAATTATATGTTCTTAGACGCGTGACCTTCTTTTCTAAAAATGAGTTATTTAAATGTAAGCAATGCCTGTTCTTGGATCATAAATATCAGGACACGGGTTTACCTACACTAACGCATGAAAACCTTGAGTGTACATTAATCACTCACCGAAATAATATGGTAACACACTTCGGTGACCGCCTCTGTGTCAGAGCGTAGAGGGGCGCTCTCAGGGCCCCCACCCCCCGATTACACTACCGCATAGGC